AGGGGGGGGGTCTGGGGTAGCACCCCCCCCCCCCACCCCCCTCATAGCCCCCCCTTCTGATAGTCCGGCATATCTGATAATCCAGGACCCCCTGGGTCCTAAAGGTGCCGTATTATCGGAAGTTTACTGTAATATAGAATCTGGGAGCCAGACCTGGGAACAGAACCTACGACTACTGAATAGCAATCTTGTATCCTTCTCTTAGCAAGGGAATCCCTGTCTACGAGTATGTAGTTTAACTGTACCTGAAGTAAACGTTCTTGTTCTTTCTGCCATTTTTCCTGTCGTTTTCTCTCTTCTTCTTGGTCCCAAGCCCGACGACTAGGAACATTAATAGATGGAACTGGAAGCTAAAACATCCCAAAAAGAGGATCATTAGATGGAAAAAGGATATCGATCCACTATCATTTTAATGCACCTATTTTTAAAAGCTAGATATAAAAGCCTTTATAAATATTAGCTACAACTCCGAGCAATGAAAAGCTACAGTACCACTCTTACAACATTAAACTGTAACTATTCTTACAAGCTTTAGAAAAGGTTTAAAATCAACAAACTGGATAGGTGTCTGACCAAATTAAGAGCATGAAATAAGAACAGGAAACTAAAAAGCAGGGTTCTCTGAAATAAACCAAGCCAGACAAACTGATAACCTTTTACATTAATTTACTTTATTTAGCAATTTGTGAATAGTACTCACATCAGACATTGCAGGCTCTGAACCTCCTACAGGATTTAGGAAAAACAGAAAAAAATGGAAAACACATTACAATTATGTGCTGTTACAAGGTTTGTTTAAATGTGAAACGTTTCACTGGTATGAAATCTTAGTTTTAACTGCAAACCATACTGGTTTCATTTAACCCTATACACTTTATGTAGGTCAAAGAATTATGAGACATCAAACTAATGTATATGTATCCTGGAAGTCTCTGAAAAGGAGAATAACCTTGCAACACATTCAAATGCTTGCAGGCACTGCTTACAATCACGTGATCTTGAATTTGCAGTACATCCCCAACCATAAAAACATGAATTACCATTTCCCATAGCTATTCTGGGGAAAAAAGAGCCAATGTTTTGTCATAACCCAATAATCTACTTTCTTAACCTATACAGTTGTTAGAATCATAAAATATTAGAACTGCACAGCATCTCAAGAGGTCCCCTGCGCTAATAGCAGAACCATCTAGTCCCCTGCCCTAATAGCAGAACCATCTAGATCATCTCTGACAGACGTCTGTCTAACCTGCTCTTAAATATCTCCAATGATGGAGATTCCACAATCTCCACAGGCAATTTATTCTAGTGTTTAACTATCGACAGTTAGGAAGCTTTTCCTAACGTCCATCCTAATCTGTTAGGATATAGCTATACTGCTTATACAGTAAAACCTGTGTTATCCGGCATGCCCGGGGTTAGGGTATGCCGGTAACCTAAACATTCTGGTTATCTGAGGGAGGGAGGGGAGCCGTGCAGGGCCCACGAGAGCTGTGCGGGGGCCAGGATATGGCCTGCTAGGGGCAGGCCATGATGCGGCCTGGTGAGAGGGGGTGGAAGCCGGGGGGCGGGAGGTGGAGATGGTGGGAGCTACCTGTGTTATCCGGCATGCCCGGGGTTAGGGTATGCCGGTAACCTAAACATTCTGGTTATCTGAGGGAGGGAGGGGAGCCGTGCAGGGCCCACGAGAGCTGTGCGGGGGCCAGGATATGGCCTGCTAGGGGCAGGCCATGATGCGGCCTGGTGAGAGGGGGTGGAAGCCGGGGGGCGGGAGGTGGAGATGGTGGGAGCTGTGGGGGGG